TCCCACAACTCATCTGGTCTTCGCTCATTAGTGTTCAAGGCCTCAAACCTGTTCCTGAGATGATTCTGAAATTCAAATGGCATAGTGTTTGCATATAACTTGCACACATCCTCATACTCTAAATCATTTCTGGATTGCTTACAAGATCTAATCCAAAAGAATGTATGTAAATAGTGCTGCAAGCTCCCTTTTAGCCTTTGAGGGGCTGATTTGAACAACTAATTCCATAATCCCTCAAATATTTTTGACCTGCAGGTGACTGATTCAGCAGACTCAGAACCTGTAGATGCAAAGGGCCAACAGTATCAGTACATTTTTGACAGTTAATGACATGGAATTTTGTTCCTTTTGTGTTCTCCCATTAACTCTTCTTTTAAGCTGTTTCTCCCCTTTTTGTTACATACTTCTGAGCTGGAAATGCCTCATAGTGACCCTCTAGTGGGTTTTCAGAGTCTGTAAATCGCACGGGACAAGACTGTCCATCGTCTTCTGAAGGGACAGTTGGAGGATTTGAACAATATGCCTTTGGCTTGGCAGTACAACTCCTAAGTCACCCGAATGCTCTCATAGTGGAGTAATGTAGATATTAGGTGCTCAACAGATACTTCCTTTGCATTTTATATTTGTTTGGAAGGAATGGAAACAATGAAAAAAGATAAGATATAATTCAAACACCCTTTTCCAAAAGTTTAAAAACAAATCCTCTCAGAATGTAATCTGATCTGCAATAAGTACTCTTACAATGAAAAGACCACTAGTTTAAATTAGGAGACTGGATATCTTATTTAGACACCAGAGCTGAAACCTGAGTCAGTTGATCTTCCTGGGTCTCAAGTTTCCACATCAGTAAAATTATATGGTAGAATTAAAAGCTCATTCAAGTTCTAGGAATTCTAGCCACAGTAATAAAAATTCCTCATTCCAAGTGATCCTGTAAATGGGAACTGGAGGACAGGCCACTTCTCCAGCATTATTACAATTCACGACATTCCCCGTACCTGAAGTAAGGCTTTTCTGGAGACATGGTGATCTGCAGAACCTCACTTGTCATGTCCAGTTCAGAGAATGCTTCCCGGAGACCCTCTGACTGGAGAATGATTTTGTTAATAACGTTGGTGCTGCAGAAATCAAAATCCAGAGTTTCCTCAGGCTCCTGGGTATTGATTTTGCACACGGTGACCACCCCTCCTTCTTCCAAAAACAGCATCAAAGGACAGCCATAACCTTGGTAACACATCCGGAGAGCAGTGAACGTGCCTGCATGAACAGAAACCAAACCAGGCCTGTGCTTTACAACAATATACTCAAATAACACACAATATGTCTCAAAAATAACCTTATTTGACCCAATTTCTGGTCTATCCTTATGAGAGGATTTTACTTTTTTTTTAATGATAGTGTGGGTACACAATTCAAAAAATAACTCTAAAGACTGGGAACTAGCACTACAAAAGACTGTAACTCAGATACCATTAAAGAGCTTGCCAAAAATACTTCAGAAGTAGGATACCGGTGTTATAAAGAAATGAATTTATAGTTTCACAATGGAGAACCTACATGGACCATTAGTGAAAGTAACAGGACTGGTGAATAAGCTATGCTATTTTTCTCTTTTCTTTAAATGTTTTATTGCAGTTGCAGTGGGTTTACAAAGAAAATTCGTTTCCCATGTAACTACTTGTACAGTTTCACATTATTTCAATACTCTGAATGTGTTAGCACTCCACCTCCCTCCTCCTTGGGAAGGAGAAAAGTGTCAGGACATCATAGGTCCTTCCTCTTATTTGATAAAGAGCCACAGTGAAGGATGGGAGAGGACAGATATTTCTAGAAAAACCAGCTGGAGAGCACAGCATCAGAAAAGGAAAAATTAATGCTGGTGGAATTGTAACTGCAAAAACAAAATATACTCTACAGAACCATCATGGGACACTCCCCCCACCCCCCTGATAACCTCTAGATGCCTTCACCAGGAACTGTACTCATTCTTCTGAGGATCCCATACCGTTATTTCTTTTGTTTAATAAGTATTTTTAAATTCTTTATTTTTATTTGGATCCCTTGTAGTTTTATACCCACAGCAATTAATTCTCACCAATCCCAAAAGCAATTCTCTAAGTAAATTAAAATATACAGATTTTAAAGAAAGCACTTGGGGAATTAGATGTAACAAAAAAGTAGGGCTTAGTTTAGGGCATTATGTTTATCATAGGAGTATGCAATGAGGGTTGCAGAGTGGATTATATT